TGCCTCTGCCTCCCGAGTGCTGGGATTAAAAGCGTGCACCACCCAACACCTGGCTTGGCTTTTTGTCTTTTAAAGGGAGTGCTTGGCTGTGGTTTTAGAGCTTTCTGCCCCTGGTCTCTTCTGTTACCGACTCTGGGTCTATCTTAAGAGAGCACACCAGGAAGCAGCCGTTTTGTTTTGTTTTTTTGTTTTTGTTTTATCCCATATGGGTAGTGTACAATGGCACCCCCTTTGTGAATTTGCATTTCTTGGGTAATGAGTCACAGCCTGGCTCATGACCTCACGGCCTTTGGGCTCTTGCTTCTCCATCCTGCCTGGTCAAAACCATCACCCGTATCCCTGCTACGGTTGCCCTCTTATTCTCGCTAGGTTTTCTGATTGGTATGAAGGGAATATTTTCCCCATTCTGAAACCTGCCTATTTCAGATGAAAATTATTTAATTACTTAATTCATTTTGAGTCAGGGCTCACTCTGTAGCCCGGGGTGGCCTGACCTCTCCTCCTGCCTCACTCAGCCTCCCGTGAGATGGAAAGACGGCTGCACCGCCACGTCTGGTGTAAGTGAAGCATCTTGATTTTTATATTATCAACTATTTTTGCCTTTTATCTTTCATTTATATTCTTTATATACTTTTATTTCAGATGTCCTTTTTGACCCTGTAGTCGTGGACGGCTTTCTTCTGTCTGCCTTTCATTGCTGTGACCAGACTCTTGAGGGAAAAACACTCTGGGGTTGTAATGGTTAATATTGTCAACCTGGCAAGGTCTAGAGTCCCTAAGGAGACAGGCATCTGCTCTTCACAGACACTTGAGGGGATTTGTAGATTAAGTTAGCTAAGATGGCAAGATACACCCTGAACATGAGAGCGATCATTCCACGGGCTGGGATCTCAGGCTGAATTAAAAGGAGAAAGTGATTGGGGCTGGAGGGATGGCTCTGCAGTTAAGAGCCTTGGTGTGGGACATGCTAGTCCATGTCCTAACACGCTCGAGGAACCACATGTGAGCTGCTGGCGCTGGAAGTCGAACCTGGGTCCTCTGCAAAATGAGCCACTGCTCCTAACCACTGGGCCATCTCTCCAGCACCAGTCTGTGTTTAATTTCATTCTATGTTAATTTTTGTTTGGCTTTGTGGTGCTGAGAACTAAACCGAGGGTCTCATAAACGGTAGGCAAACACGCCACTGAGTCACACATTAGCTTCAAATTAAATAGCTACCTCACATTTGCGTGTGTGTGTGTGGGGGGGGGCGTCCTATTTTGGACGGCACAAATTTAGGGTGCCTTTAAAATTTTTTAGTATTTGTTTTTGTCTGTGTCGGGGGACCATTTACAGGAATTGGTTGTCTCTTTCCACCCAGTGGGTCCTGGGGATCGAACTCAGGTCTTTGGGCTTGGCGGCAGTCAGCTTTACCAGCTGGGCCATCTCGCCGGCCTGCAGGCTGCCCTCTCTTGTACAATCAGCAAGGGCCTTATTCTTAGTGGGGTGAAATGAGCCTGCTTCCTGTGCACTGCTATTCAGCAGTCCCTCTTCCGTCACTGTCTTGCGGAGATCACCGCTCTGTCGCGCATCCTATCTGCCTCTGAACTCTCGGATGTGTCACTATTATGCCACAGTTCCTCGGGTTCAAGCCAGCAAATCCAATGAGCCACTGGGGTGGGGCTTCTCAAGTTCCAGCTGTGGCAAGGACTACATTTTCCAGCCTGCCTTGCCCCTGGGCGTGGCCAAACCCCTGGCCAATAAGAGATGGTGCAACCCTTGGGTCAAGTCCTTATAGAGTCTGTCTTTCCTGAAGGAGGTTACAGCCCCAGGATGGAGGGCAGATGGGAACTGGGGTCCCCGCGACTCGAGGGACCGAATTCCAGTTTCGTGTTTAGCACAGGAAGGTTGCTTTGTTTCTGGGGCTTCCATAATGGAGCAGACATCTGGGTCCCTTGTTGACGTGCAGATTGATGGGCCCACCCAGGTCCTGATTCAGCCTGGGCGGGACCCAGGAAATCAGATTTGCAAATTTGGGTGGACCAAGGGTGAATACCTTAGAGACCCACTTGTCTGACCAGTTTACGCCATTTGTTTGGGCGCTCTGCTCACACCCCTCTGGCTTGAAGAATAAACATCTCCAACTGGCTCGCCTGCTCTTGGGCCCGGCTCGTGAACCTTCTGAGTCGATTCGTTGCTTGGAGAGCGTGGCGTCGGGCAGTGGCATCTGGGCAAAGAAGTTGATAATTTCATCTTCCGCCTGTGCTGTCATTGCAGGTGGTATGCATGGCCCTCCCACGAGCTAGCCTGGGGTCCCGCTTCTGCAGTCTAGAGGTCCCAAGAAAGCCATTGTAGAAAACACCCTTGCCAATGCACCAAGACGGCCGGAAGATACTCTTCAAGTTCAGGGCGGGTACCTGGGAGGAGCCATTTTGCTCTAGCCACAGCAGAGGTGAGTGACCTTTCCAGGGTTGGGGTAACACTCCCTCCACCCCCAGCCACTCTTGCGGCAGTGACCCTGTGGGTCTTTGGGTAATTGGCTCCTCCAGTCTTCCTGACACTGATTGACACTCCTACACTAAATCCGGATTGGGTCAGTCAGGGGTTTAGGTGTGTCCTGATGGTAAGTGGCTGACCCTTGGGGCCATTTCTGCAGTTGACTGGGGCAGAAGGCAGAGCTGAGAGAGTCGTGAGTCTCTTGCAGCAGCTCCTATTGGGAGACATGGAGCCACCCCTTCCAAATGCAGGGACAGTGACTGAAGATGTCCAAACCAGTGGTCAACTTGGAGTCGGGCATACGGCAGAGCGGCTGACTTCCTGCCCTGGGCCATTTCACCCGCGTTGCAGCATCTCCTAGAGGCGTTCAGTTGCCAATGGGATTGCGCGGAGCTCAGGCACTCAGCAGCAGGGCTCTGGAAGGTTTACTCTTCCCTAGTTCTCCAGCCCCCTAAGCAGAGTGAGAGTCCTTTGGCCTTGCTCTCGGCAACAGTCTAGGTTCCTTTCATGTTTGTTCCATCATTTGTTGTGAGACAAAGTCTCACTATGTAGCTCTGACTGTAACTCACACTGGTCACCCACTCTGCCTCCCGAGTGGTGGTGGGATTAAAGGCACACACCGCCACACCCAGCGTATGGTCTTATGCAGCCCTGGCTGCCTCCAACTGATCTACATCCGATCCCCCTGATTCACACTGACTTCTGGGTGACAGGCATGCAGCACTACGTCTGGTTTTACATGGTGCCGGGGACTGGACCCAGAGCAAGTACCAACTGAGCCATATCGCCAGTGCAAAGTGGATCTCCCCTATAAAAACAGCCAGGCCCGAGGCTTATTTATTTTGGGGCATATGTCTTTCCCCCTCCCCCGGCAGTTTTGGCCAGCTTCTTTACAGAAAGGACTCCACTCCACTCAGGCCATCCATTCCTTCTCACACTATCATGTCTTACCCTGTAAGATCACCAGGCACTTGGCACGGTCCTACCACATACGGGTCCCGACCCTCTGGAGGCCGGAGCTGTGCAGCAGTAGACACGGGTGAACTGGGTAGCCCTGAGTTGAAGTCCTGGTGTCCAGGAGCCCGCTGGCCCTCACTCCTCCGCTAGCTTCCTCTTGGGGAATCTCAGAAGCAGTGATGGATGTGCTCAGGCAACAAAGGCAGGGTGCTGGCCGCTATAGCGCCCTTCTCCCCCATTGCTGGGCTTGGAGGACTCTCCTTGGCCAAGTACAGGCTGCTAGCTCCAGGTTACTCAGCCTCGTCAACCCCAAAGAACTCATCTGCTGGTTCCTACACTAGTTAGGATCAACACATAACATTTCCAGGACAAGGCCATGTGTGGTGACTGTGTCAGCGTTCACCAGTGATCACAGCAGCAATCAGGAGACAGAGGCAGGGGAGTGCTGCAAGTTTGAAGCTAACCAGGTTACATAGTGAGTTTAGGCCACCCAAAACTATGTAGTGAGACCCTGTCTCAAAACAACAAATCAATGTTTTCTTTTTCAGGAAGAAACAATAATTCCAGGTCGCTGGGATGTGGGGGCTTGTACTCTGGCCCACAGGCTGCTTCCAGAGTTGAGGCCCACTTGTTCCATATAGGGAGCAGGGTGGAGTCTCTCCAATGAAGCCTATATTCCCAGGCCCAGACCCCAAACAGCGGGACAGCAGCCTTCACAGAGCACACACCCGGAAACAAGAAAATGTTTTAATTGTGAAACTAACTTGAGGGAGTGGTGAGGGGATGGGGGACAGGGGCCTGATTCTTCAAAGTGGCTCTGTCCCTGGGCCACCCCATCTACAGGTCAGGGATCACATGTCCCAGGTTGGGACACAGCTAGTGTTATAAAATGACAATATTAATAGACTTCTAGAAAATGG